TGGGGCAGGAAGCAGTGTGGTGCGGAAGCCGGCAGTCCTGGGTGAGGCTGTTCGCACGCGTCCCATGTCAGCAGCCCCCATGGCGGCTCCTGGCACCTTCCTCGTTCCTGTCCTTCTCCTCCTCCTCCTCTGTGGGCCGGGTCCCTACCCTGCTGCTGTCCACAGCCACCCAGGTAAGGGGGCACATGGGAAGGCCACAGGCCCCTTTTGTGGGTGGCGCTGGGGAATGGAGCTCCCCAGTGATGGCGGGCGAGGACAGGATGTGGGGCTGTGTGGGCTGGCACGCTGTTGTGGCACACACCAGGGACCCTGCGACCCCTGATGTTCCCCAAGACCTGCGGCACCTATATGGTCTCTTGCAACTGGGCTGCCAGGAGGGTCAGGCTGTACCAGGGAGCCCTGCTGGGGGGTGTCCTCACACCCACTGCAGTGCTGGAGCATTTCTGACCCCGCCAGCCCCTGGCTACTAGTCCTGCAGTGCTCCTGCCTCACCACTCTACTGGCAGATCCTATTGGTCTGTGCTACGTGTGGGTGCTGGCCAGGATGGTCAGTGGATCTGCACCAGCTGCCCTTTCCTTCCTGGTCACCTCAGTAGCGCTGCGCAGAGGAAGGGGACAGGACATTGAGGCTTTTCTTTCCACCTGGCACTCTCATCCCAACCACTGTTTTCTGAAAGAAAAATCCACTCCTTATCTGGCTGTCAATAAAGCAACAGATTTCTGTGGAAAAAGCTCCTCTGTATCCCTGGACCTCCCCGGCTGCCAGGAAGGTGCCCTCCATCTCCACGAGTAGAAACAGCCTGTTTGCGCCATTGTGTTACATTACAACCCAGGTGGACTCTGGCTTTCTTTTCTTTTTTTCTTTTGCAGGGGCTTTCTAGGGCCCCTGCAGTGCTGGCTGATGAGTTTGTTTGGTTCTCATGGAGGGAGGCTCATAGGGATATCCAGGATTCAGGGATCTAGCATGTGCCATGTCTCTCCGGTACACCCCTGGGGCCTGGCTCAGCCACCCGCCACTGCCATGCACAGCAATGTCTGTTGCTTGCAGGGGTGGAGTGTGTCCTCTTCAACGAGGAGTACATGACCTGCATGTGGGGGAGCAGAGAGATGCCCACAGTCAACTACTCCCTCTTCTACTGGTAGGTGCCCTGGCCAGTCCTACAGCAGAGTGTCCAGCAGTGGGTCCCTGGCAGCAGGGGGGCTTGCATCCTGGCATCAGGCTGCTTCTCCTCCCCAAGCCCAGGGTGGGGCAGGCTCTGTGTCCAGGGCAAGCAGGATGAGATGTGCTGGGGAGCTGGGGCATGTGAGGCCTTGGGGAGTCCTGGTAACCCACTGTGGCACAGGTACAAGAATACATCTGACAAGGAGGTGGAGTGCAAGCACTACCTGCAGGACCAGGGTGTCAGGGTCGGCTGCCACTTCAAGCAGAATGAGCTCATCCAGTTCCAGCCTTTCCATGTTCTCATCAATGCCAGCATTGGCGGCAAAACCCTGGAGATCCCCAGCAAGCGCATGTTGCTGCAGGACCTGGGTACAGAGGGGTGGGAGGGACCACCCTCTCCTCTGCAGGGCTGTGGGTTCTCAGAGCTCCCCAGTGAGTTCCCAGCTGGCAGCAGGGCCACTGGGGCATGGGGCCAGCCCTCACTAGGCATTACCTGTATCTTGCAGTGAAACCAGCGGCACCAGTCAACCTGACCATCCACAACATGAGCAACAATCAGCTGCAGCTGACCTGGGACTCCCCATACCCCAAAGGCAAGTGCCTGGAGCATGCTGTCAAGTACAAGAGCAACAAGGACACCAGCTGGACGGTGAGAGCTCTGGCCACAGCACCCTTGTGGCTGTGCCTGGGGGTGAGCTGTGCATCAGCTGCCAGGGTGGTCCCAGCCAGCAGCACAGGGCTCATGTCTCTGCAGGAGCTCTTGGTGAATGGAGATGTCTTCTCCTTACCCAGCGTGGACTATGAGAAGTCTTACACGTTCTACGTGCGCAGCAAGATCAACAAATACTGTGGCAGCACCCAGTTCTGGAGCGAGTGGAGCGTTCCTGTCATCTGGGGAAGCAACTCCACCAGCAAGGGTATGCTCTGAGGGCTGCAGTGGGATAGGATAGACTGGAGCATGGCAGGGCTCGCAGGCGAGAGATGGCCAAGCAAGTAGAGAATGGCCTGAGGCAGCAGCTGTAGGGGCAAGACCCATCTGGTATGTGGGGTGTCAGCAGCAGCATACTTTGTACTTCTGGAAGCAAAACACACCCTACCAGTGGGACCTGCTGACTTTTGCCAGGGTCTTCTTAGCACCGGAGGGCATGGCTGGGCAGGACAGGGTCACCAGCTAGTTACAGTGATAGGATGGCAGGGCCTGGGGACAGGCCCCTTCTCCATCCTCTGTTCCCAGTCATGGCCACTCAAAAAGAACCACCTGCAGGCCCACCCCACTGCCACAGTGGTGTGCTGTCCAGGGGTCAGTTTCAGCCCCACTCTTTCCAGGCACGGTGGAGGAACAGCTGCACTGGTTTGGAATCCGTACAGTCTTGGTCCCCATTGCCTCCTGCCTGCTCCTGCTGGTCCTTGTCATCCTGCTGGTGCGCACAGAAAGGTGAGTGTGGGGAGCTGATTGGGGGCAGCAGCACTGGGGCTTTTCCCCTCTAACACACCTCTCCCTGCACAGGGTATGGGTCATCCTGATGCCCCGAATTCCCAACCCAAGCAAGAATTTTGATGAGCTGTTCATCACCCACAATGGCAATTTCCAGGTAAGACAGTACAGGCAGCCCTGCCCTGGGCCCACCCCTTCTGTGTGGGGTTGGGGCTGGGCTGGGTGGCAGCTCCTCTCACCCTGCTCTGCTCCCTGGAGGAATGGGCTGGAGTCCCCAAAGATGTCATGGAGAGTTTCAAGACCAACTACAGTGAGAACATCTGCTATGTGACTGAGCTGCCACCCAAGGAAAGCCATGAGAACCTCTGGGACAGCAGCAATCATGCACCACCTCCAATGCCTGGGCCCCCAGCCACCCCCAGTGAGCACAGCCCCTACCAGAACAGCTACGGGAGAGTGTGACACACTCCTGCACCCTTGCATCCCCCATTCTCCTCAGCTTTGCTTCCCAAACCTTACTGCTCCTCAGGCCCTGCTCCTGCTATGCTTCTGCCAAATGCCCTGGGTCCCTGGTCTTGCTTCCTGCCAAGTCCTCCTACCTGCTCCAGGGTGCCCACAAGCACACCCAGGGACGTGTCCTGGTAAGTGGGCAGCTGCAGCTGAGCAGACAGGGGCCACTGGCCAACTGATGGGGACACACAGGATGAGGAGTCTCAGGGGGTCCAAGTGTGGAAAAATAAGGAAAGATAGGCAAGAAAGATTGTAAACATGCTCGAGTGCCTTGCAGCTGATCTACGAAAACACGTGTACCAGACTCATCGTTGTTTAGCTTTGTGTGTTCAGTAAGAAGAACTTCTGTGTTTAGATAACACAGGCCTGTGGTAGACTTAGTGGCACCTTATTTAACATGCTTGAGATTCCTGGCCTGCTGTGGGAAAGATCAAATCACAGTGGTAAACCACAACTGCACAAATCCTTGATAAACAGGCAGAAACAGCAGGTTCAGTGATCCTTTAGGGTGGACCAAGATCCACAGTGCCTGCATCCCTGCTTATGTTCCTCTGCCTGGGTGCTGCCTGGGAGATCCTCCAGTCAATGAAGTAATGAAAATAAATTTCCTCTTTGCCTTTCATCCGTGGTTTTGTGGTTGGTCTTGTGTCCTGCCTGTGCTGGCTCAGACAGCAAGCCACTGTGTTATCCTGGCAGTTCCCCCAAGGCCTTGCTTCTCCTTCGCCTGTGTCCCCAGTTTCCAGTGACAGTAAAGCTCTGCCCACCAGGGGTTTGCCCAGGCTCATCCTGCGGGGTCTGGGGAAAGCACCAGCGGAGCCCCAAATCCTGAACACTTCTGACCTTTCACGCACAGTAAGGCAGGGGACAGTCCTACTGTGTCAGCCCTGCCGTCTCAGGCTCACAGTTGGCAGCATGTTCATCAATCAACATCAAGCACATGGATGAGTCCCGTCCTGGCCATCTCACAGGGCTCCCTGCACACTCAGACGATGTGCTATGACCTCACCGGGCAATGGGTTCCACTCTGGGCTCTCCAACCACTTCTGGGGCCACCTGCAGCCCCCAGCCACTGCTGCTATCCCTGCAGATGACCAGACCTTTCTGGCCAACACTGACTGCAGGGCCCTGCCACTGCTCTTACAGAATCCCAGATTCAATTATGTTGGAGAAGACATTGGAGATTATTGAGTCCGACCTGTGTCCAAACATCACCATGTCAACCAGATCACAGCACTGAGTGCCACCTCCAGTCTTTCTTTAAACATCTCCAGGGACAATTACTCCACCACCTAGCTGGGCAGTCTAATCCAATGTCTGTTCACCCTTTCTGGGAAGAAATTCTTCCTGATGTCCAACCTCAGCCTCTCCTGGCAGAGGGACATAAGACCACACCCTCCCATCCTATCACTGCTTGCTTGGGAGAAGAGAGTGGAACCCTCAGCTGGACCCTGAGACAGCCAGGCCTTGGCACATCAGGACCCCAGCACATCAGGACCCTGACACAGCGGGGCCCTGGCACAGCTGGGCAAAGGATGAGGGTCCTCGGCACAGCAGACCCCAACACAGCCAGGCCCTGGCACAGCGGGACCCCGGCACAGCGGGACCCTGGCACAGCAGGACCACGGCACATCCAGGCCCTGGCACAGCCGGGCCCTGGCGCAGCGGGACCCCGGCACAGCCGAGCCCGGGATGGGGGTCCCCGGCCTTGTTCCCCTCCGCGTCCCGCGGTGCCCAGGACAGGCAGCAGCGCCCCCTAGCGGCGGGGCACCCCAGGCCCCGCCCACCCCGGGCAGGGGCGGGGCCTGCGCTCCGGGCACCGGTAACTTTCCAGCCCTGCCCACGTGGTGCGGCGGCGGCCGCCCCCTGGCGGCGGCGATTGGCGCAGGCGGGCCCGCCCCCCGTGCCTGCCGCGGTGCCGGCTCTGCGCTGCCGGCGGCTGCACCGGGCGGGGGCACCGGCACCGGGCACCGGGACTGCGCTCAGCTCAGCTCAGCTCGGCACGGCACGGCAGGGCACGGCACGGCAAGGCACGGGCTCACCATGATCGTGTGTCCCCAGAGCGTGGAGCACCCCCGAGGAAGCCGATGCCAGCGGCTGCCGGGGCAGGTAGGACCCGCCCCGCCGCCACCACCGGAGCCCGTACAGGAGCACCGGGCTTCTCCTTGCTCGCCGCCACCGGGCCGGCACGGCTGCGGCACCAGCAGGCCGGGACATTCCCGCTGCCCGCTGGCGGTGCCCGGGGCCGGCGAGGCTGCGCTCTCACGGTGCCCCCCCCTGCGGTTTGGTCTTGGTCCTGATCCTGCTCCCGGTTCCGGTCCCGGTGCGGCGGTGCCGTCCCCGTCCCCGTCCCCTTTGTGCGGGATGCGGGAGGCGCCGTGGCTCCATCACTGCCAATCAAACTTGTTTTTCTCTCTCCGCCTGCACTGCCTGCGCCGCTCACCGGGGGCGCTGCCGCCGCCGCCGCCCGCACAATGGGGCCCCGGGTATCGGCCCCGGGTACCGGCCGCCGGCACTGCCGCCGGCACTGCTGTAGGGACCCCTGCCGCAGGCACTCGTGCTTTTCCCGTCTTCTTGAATACCCAGGCATAAAGGCCGGGAGAGACATGCCGTCGCGGCACCGTCTCCAGCAAACGTTACCGGAGGAGCCACCGGTACCGACAGAGCCGCGGTCTCGCCGGGCGAAGGGATAAACCCCGGCCAGGCGGGGAGCGCGGCGGGGTCCGCCGGCCCCTCTCCCGCACATCCCGGCGCTTTCCGGGCTCCTTCAACCTCCTGCCTTCTTTATGTGTTCACGGCTGCAGGCCGGGAGCGCCGGGGCACCGTTACCCCCGCGGCTCCACCGGGCGCCGGGGGGACGAGGTTGGCGGTGGGTACGCAGTTGAGGAGCCTGTTGGAGTTCAGGGCGCTCAGACACACGAAGATTCCACTGGGAAGGGAGGCGATGCTCCTACAGTCCGGGAATGCGAGTGGATGCAGGGGAGGAGGAGGAGGGCTGTGGCCGAGGAGGATGAGGAAGGTGGCACTGGGGCCAATGTAAGAAGCTGGGGAGGCAGAACTGAGGGAATGTGGCAGGTGGTGCCAGTAGGACACAGCCTGGGCTGAGCTGGTGCCTTTGGGAGTGGGCAGTTTAGCCTGGCCAGAGGCTGAGAGCCAAGGAGGTGGCTGTTCTGCACCTTCATCCCCTCCTTCCTTCATCATGTCCTTCCAATATCTGCCTGGTTGTTTGCTCCACCATCACCTGGACAAGCAGAGTGAGGAGAGCTGGCAACACCAGAGGCCAAGCCATGGGCTGCTTGCACAGTTCCTTACTGGGGACCACCTTTCCCTGGGGGAAGTGAAAAGACCCCTGGCTCCACCTCAGCTCTCCAGGAGGAGAATACCAGTGGCTGTAGCCCCTTGGGTGTCCTCATGGCATCTCATTTCCCCAGGCAGAGTGATTTTGTAGGGGGCTTTTGCAGTTCACTTCTGGCTTTCATCTTCTCCTGTCAATCAGAGAAACTGGTGCTTTTCATCTCTTTCCATTTTAATTTGAGTTTTGGGGTTTTGTGGACCCCTTTTACCAGAGGAAGTGAAGAGGACACTTCAAATGCCATCAAGTAAATCTCTTGACACATGAGCGATGGTGTTTTCACCAGAAGTGCAGGATGGTGGAAAATAGCCTGAGCACCTTCCTGCACTGCCTGTGTGGGTGCAACTGCTCTGTGCTGCCACACAGCTCACCCCTGCTCTGCCTGCCCCTCACCCCTGGGTGCTCTGCCACACACCCTGTAGCTTTGATGGTTTGCAGAAATGCTCCTGGTTTTGTCCTATGCCACCACTGTTGCCATGCTCCAGTCACCAGCCTTTGGGTGATTGCACTGGAGAGACAGGTGGAAGGAACGGACAGTGGTGTCAGCAGGGCCAGAATTCCCCAGGAGAGATTTCAGTTCAAGCCTGGGAGAAGAGATGCATCCTTTACATCCAAGGGTGCTGCCTGGACTCCCACATGCAAGCGGGAGCTGTGACTTTCTGTGTGATAAGGGTTAGCACCTGCTGTACCCGTACCTTGGGGTGGGCAGGCTGCAGGTGCAGACCATGCTGTCGGGGGAATTGTGGCAACACGGCCGTTGGAGCACGGCAGCTGCCTGGGCATCTTTCCAACATCCCTGCCCTCTGTTCCGACCACCCTCTCAGGAGGGGCTGTGCTGGACTGGGGCAAGGCTGGCATGGGCATTGCTGTGGGTGTCTGGGCCCCCCTTGCTGAGTTGCCTGTCTGTGTTTTCTCTGGTGGGCACATCCAATAACAGCTGTGCTCTGTGCTGCAGGACCCACTCCCATGCTGTCTGCCTGGGCAACATGTAAAGAGCTCTTCTGTGTGCTCCTGTTCACATGAAAGGTACCAGGATATGGCTTGCCAGGGCAGGAGCCTGGGAGCCCCTCTGCTCTTTCCACAGCTCTCTCTCATCTTGGTACTGGGCAGGAGAGCTTCATGCTGGTGGTAAGGCAGATGGGCTGCTCCATTCTGGAATGTATTTTGTGTCATGTTTCTCCTGATCTGGCCTTGCACCACTACAAGAAACATCATTCCTGGCTTGCCCTTTGCTTCCACTCCACACAGAGCTTTGTCTCAGACAGTGACCAACCTGACAGTGTGTCTTGCTACCTGTCTTCCCACTACCTGTGGCACGGAGCAGTGCTCTGCCTGATAGCCATGAGTGTCCCTCTGGCAACACTAAGCTGGGAGAGGGATCTCTGCCCCTTGCAGAGCCTGGGCTTGGGTGGGGTATGCTGCTGCAGCAGGGGCTGCTCTGGGAAGAGCTAAGCAGAGTGTGTTTCCTGCAGGTAGTGAAGATGTCCAGCAGCGACCCCGAGTGCCCCCAGTTCCTCTTTGTGAAGGTGCTGGCAAGCCGAGGGCGGCTGGAGGCAGTGACCCAGCAGATGGGCTACCACCCACAGTACCTTGACAGCTTCCTCAAGACACAGCACTACCTGATGCACATGGATGGCCCCCTGCCCTTTGACTGCCGGCACTACATCGCGATCATGGTGAGCCTGCTGGGAGCTGCCAGAGGGGATGGGGGAGCTCTGCTCAGCCCTGTGAGGCTCTTCTCAGCCTCCAGCAGACACCCTATTCCCTGGACTTCTCATCAGGGGCCAGAATCACGGTGTCCTGGAGGCTGAGCAAGAGGTGGGTGTGGGATGCCTGTCCTGCTGGGGGCTGTGCACGGATGCCAATGTGCTGCTCTTGCAGGCAGCAGCCCGGCACCAGTGCCGGTACCTGGTGAACCTGCACGTGCTGCAGTTCCTGCGGGCAGGGGGTGACCCACAGTGGCTGCGCGGCCTCGAATTCATCCCCCCCAAACTCCGCAACCTCAATGAGATCAACAAGATCCTGGCACACCGGCCATGGCTCATCACCAAGGAGCACATTGAGGTACTGGGAAGGGCTATGAGCCAGGGTCCAGGATGGCAGCGGGGACAGCAATGTCCACAGCAGCTGTCAGCACCCTGCCCACTTGCCTGTGTCACATTGCTGGTCTGTCCATGTTCTGCAGAAGCTGCTGAAGATCAGTGAGTGGAGCTGGTCACTGGCAGAGCTGGTGCATGCCGTCGTCCTCCTGGCACACTGCCATGCACTTGCCAGCTTTGTCTTCGGCTGTGGCTGTGAGCAGGACGAGGGGCTGGGGGGCCGAGGCTTGCTGAAGCCATTGTCACTCGGGAACCAGTGCTTCTGCGAGGCCACTGCCGGCAACAGCTACAGCCAGGAGCTGCTGCGTATCAACCGCAAGCGGGTGAGCTCCTGAGGGTGTGTCTGCAGGGGATGGGGGGATGCTGCTGGGACCACTGCCCTTACCCCCAAGTCTGTGTCTGTGCAGTCCCTGGACTCTTGCATGGAGCTGGACTCCCTCCGGGAACGCATGCAGCGGATCCATGTGGAGACTGAGGGCAGGGACGAGATGAGGCTGCTGCAGCAGGACCGAGAGGAAGGTAAGGGGCAGGGACCAGAGGTGGGTGTACAGGGTGGGAGTTCATATGGCACATCTGGGTGTTTGCTCCTCCTCCATGTGTAATGTTTTCCATGATGTGTGGTTCATTGGGGCTTGTGGGATGCACATGGGGCAGAGCAAGGGCTGGCTTTCAATGCCTGATGTAGCTGGGAACAGGGCAGCTGAGCACTGCTCTGACCCATGTGCAGGGCTCTCCCCTCTTGCAGATACTGATGGGGAAGTCACCAGTGCCACCAACCTTGCCTGCTATATGCAGGACCCTGACTTTGGATACCAGGACTTTGCCCGGCGCGACGAGGATCAGACACAGGTATTCAGAGTCCAGGTAAGAGTCCTGCTCTCTTGATCTCTTGGTGGGCAGCAGCCCAAGCTCCCCTCCCCTCCCCTCCCCTCCCCTCC